CGAAGAATAAGTTCAATTGCGAATTTTACAGCGTCTAGTTGAAACGCAATTTTAGCAATCCCCAAGCAAAAACACATTTATTTAGGGCACGACTTCCAGTAAACAATATTTGAATTAATCGCCTTCCCTCGAATCCTCGGCGATGATTCGAGGAAGTACAGTATCTTGGAAATGATAATAGCGTATGACTATTTGTAAATTAAAGACACAACTTTCCAACTGCATAGATTTTAATGGGTTTTAATAATTCAACCTAGGTCAGCCTCGTCTATTGAGCAATTTTACGAGGATGGTATTCTGGCGTTCAGTCATTCCAAAGTTGCTTCTTTTACCATGGTTAGGTGATCGCCAGCTGCGATCAGACGTTTTTCTTTTATGTTTTCAGACAAGCGCGAAAGTCGGCGGACGGGCAGCAAAAGTGAAAAAAGGTTCTTTTCTCCTCGCCATCCATAAAAAGGGAAGAAATACCGCCTGATCGCATGTTAGCTTTGAAGCGTTTTCAAGAAGAGCGTAGCGTTAAGGGAGGAGTGTTGCGTGACGTCACAAAAATAACGGAATACCGTAGTTGAATATCAATTTCACGGTTGGTTGCTGCCATCAACTCCTTCAGGCAAAAACATCGTGCCGCCGGTAGTACTAAGTAGATGCGTGTTGTTTAATGTCATGGCCAGTTTCCCAGTGATTCAGTTAACAGAAGGCGAGTGGACGTCCGAGAAATGGTATGATATTTTGGGGGTGAAGCTTCCAAACTTTTTCACCAGCGATCCCGCATTCCTCAGAGATTACATTTTTAATTTTAAGACGAGACAGGATGACGTTTTTATAGCCACATATCCCAAATCAGGTACGTCAAGAAGTTAAACTTGCAGTAAAAGAAGCTTTAAAGCTTTGCGATATGGTAGTTTGAAAAATGGTAGTTTGCCTGGGCCCTCGTCTCGAGTGACCTAAAGTGAACTGAAATAAGCAAAATGGTGCAAATAATTTCCACGTTGATTCACCTTGAAGCAGTGTCATCTGGTTCCAAAACGATTACGTAACCTCACGTGAATGGCGACCCTGCGGTCCTGTAGTCTAGCGATCACGCGATCATACCCCCAATTCTTTTCCAAAAAAAAAAAAAGAGAGAATGAACGAGCAGGTAACCTTATTCTTTGCTATGCTATAATGTTTGTTAAATATTATGTAAATATTATCTGTTATATTTTGATTATATGACGTCAATCCTATAACGTTCACAAGTGTCACCAAAGCCACCCTGTCACGCAAAGTAGCAAGTTTCACAATTTGCCTATGAAGTGTAGAGTAGGCAGTACAAAAAACTAAAGTAGGCTTGTAGGGAATATCAAGTACTAGTAAACACTTAATATTCCCTACAAGCCTACTAGCTGAGCTATTTCTAGGCTACTCGTTATAGCCCACTTGTAGCGAAAAGCGCCGGCGTTGAAAACCAAAGCTATGGTGGCTGAATCGCGTTTTGCTAACTTAAGTTGTTTTGTCTCGATAGTTTTGACCAACTAGTTGGATTTTGCTAAAACAATTATTCCTCTCGCCCATTCGGCCTTCGGCCTCGTGAGCATATTCACTCAGACCCCATTCGGGCGCGAGGAATAATTGTTAAATATAATACAATGAAACCTGTATTAAGAGGTCACCCTTGGGGACTGACTTATTGACCGCTTTATACAGGTTTGACAAACCTAAGAGTTGTTCAAAAAAATGAAGTTGGTAAAAGAGCAAAATATCTATCGCACAACAAAACGACCTCAAAGTGCCTCTACCTCTTCTTGTTCTGAAAAAGGAAGCAAGAGACCAATAAACAACATTCACACCATACCTGCTGCACTAGTATGTATGGTACCGCGTCTTATAGATGAAGAGAATGAAAAGTAACTCGTTGGGACCTCGGAAAAAGTGACCGCGACGGCTTAATAAAGGAGACCGTTTAATACAGGTCAGATTTACAGTATGCAGCTATTTCGAGAAAAGTTGTCAGAAAAAGTGCGCGAGACAATCCCGAAAGGTATTGCGTGTGGTTTTTAGCTCACTGTTCTTCAAAGAAAGTTGAAAGAATGACACAAGAGGCCATGGACTTACGTTTGTGAGTGCTAAATGAAAGCAACAAAAGTAGGTTCGAAAGCTGCAGTGTTAGGAAGAGTGTGTTGATCATATCCCATAATACCTTTCGGGATTGTAGCGTGGACATTTTTTCCGACAACCTTTCTTCTCGAAATAGCTGTAAGCTGAGGAAAATGATTTCCGGGACTCAGGTAGGTGACCGCTAAATAGACGTTTCCTTGAATATAGGTTTGACTGTATATTCACAAAATTACGGTATCTATTATTTTCATTCAGGGACAACTTGGGTGCAAGAAATTGATCTCATCGAGTGCCATTTATTGAAACAGCTACCAATGAAATGATTTGCCCGTTTAGCCTGGACACTTTACCAAGCCCTCGCATTCTTAAGAGTCATCTTCCGCTTAACAGCATTCCGAAAAGTGATAACAAGGAAATGCAGTGCAAATATATTTACGTGGCCCGCAACCCCAAAGACATTGCAGTATCGTATTTTCATTTCACGGAGCATAGGCGAAAAGCGGGTAATGGTTTCAGTGGGCCATGGGAATTTTATGCCAAGTTATTCATAGAAGGAAATGGTGAGTTGTCTTAATGAGATGTCTCCGTACTTATCGAGGGCCTTTTCTGTAATTGAAATGCAGAATATTAACATTAAATTTTTTCATGTTGCAAGATCTCGTTACCCATCGAGCGTGCGCACTTTAAAAGGCTTTTTCACGTGGGCGTCGATAAAACCAGGAACATGGAACATACCGGAACATGCCGGAACATTCCGAAACATCCCGGAACATGAAAAAATTAAAATATTTTTTTATGAAAAAATAATTAATTAATTAAATAATAATAATAATAATAATAATAATAATAATAATAATAAAAAGAACAATAGATAGAAAACAATTTTTGCAAAAATTTATAGTAACAAAATAAATAACATAACATAACATAACATAAAAACGAAAAAGAAAGAAAGAAAAAGAAACTGGTATCATCTCCGAGTATGAGAAAACAATGTTTTGTCGCAATGAATTTTTTGGGCGAGTGAGGGTCCATTCAAATGACAGTTATGAGTGAAGGCTTGCTTCTAAATTCAAAATATATTAAAATGGGTCGCGAGTAGGGGGTTTTCAAGCTTTCCTCACACAGCCACCTCTTGTAAATATTTGCCATGCGGTTTAAGGGTTATCAATTTACGCCTTTGCGACCGTAAGAAGAGCTTAGGGGCTCGTCGCTTTGGACTTGGATAATTAAATTAAACATTCACATTCGCCGCAGAATAGTTGCAGTGGCAGTGGTAGCGCAGCTGTAGTTTCTAACTGTTATCATTCAGCCTGAATTTTAGTCGTCTCCCCGCAAACTCCTCTTGCGACTCGAGGAGACGTCTGAAATATCATGCTGACTGTAAACAGTATAGAAACTACTACGAATGTGAGTATTACCCACTAAAATCCAAAGACAGGAGCCCCTATGCTCTTCTTAAGTTTACAGAGCCGCCTAGTCTGTAAGTAATTCATGTCAACCTCAAGTGAAGCAAAGCACCTCAAGTCAGCAAATGTCGGTTATATACTAGGAGACTATATGTTGGCTTGACATGAGTTACTTACCGACTTGGCTTGACATGAAATACTGCACTGACATTTCAGACCATCGCAGAACCGTAAATGGATAACCGCCAAATGATTAACTCATGGCAAACAATTACCAGAGGTGGTTGTGTGAGGAAAGCTTGAAAACCCCCTCCTCGCGACCCATTTTCTTGATTATTTCATTATTTCTCGTTTTTTTTTTGTTATTTTACGTTCTTATTAATTTTTACAAAAATTATTTTATTATTATTATTTTATAACATTTTTTTTTATGAAAAATATTTTAATTTTTTCATGTTCCGGGATGTTCCGGGATGTTCCGGAATGTTCCGGAATGTTCCGGGATGTTCCATGTTCCGGGTTTTATCGACGTCCCGCAAACATACTCCAGCCAGTTGTTCAAAAGGTGGTAGCGCTATCCGATGGATAGATCTTTATCCAGTGGCCGTAACGCAATTGGTTTCCCTAATAACAATACTTATCCGCTGGATACTGATTTATCAGGTGGATAGCGCTATCCAACGTTTGAACAACCGGGGCCAGGAGCTTATTTCTGTTGCTCATGACACAGGCGAAGTCAAAGGCGGTCGAGGATGACAATTTTTGACAGATCCCTTTTTTGCTTTAAGGGGAACAAAAACAATGTCCATTGGTTGGGTTTCACCTTGGAACCCTTCCATGCCGTTAGGCTGTTGAAAATAACGCAGCTGTCTAATGACTTGCTTTACTGTATTTTATGGAACGTCACATTCTTTGGTTGTTTACCCAGCCTCCTCCTCAGGTGCTTCGTTTTTCTCATCGTAGAGGTGAGCGCGAAAAGCGAGAGGCTGGTGATGAACCGCAAGGGACCATGGGAAGGGTACAGCCGGTAGTCTCGCCCGTTGTCTCCTTCCCGCCTTCCTTTGTGCGCACATTTTCATCGAGAGAGAGACGTCTGGGTACGAGGCAGTTGTTTACCGGTAATTTTTTGTTGAATAGTGTGTTGGAACGCTTGGAATGACCATGTTCTTGGCTGGTGGAAACACAGAGACGATCCTAATATCTTGTTTCTCAAATATGAAGATTTACACAAGGTACTATGCAGCAGCAGCAAATGACTTCATTAGACTGCGTGGCGTGGTTTGTCTTATTTGGTTAGTTCTTCTAGAGCGCGCGCGAGGGGAACATGTGCGAGCGCGGCGTCCTCGTAATTCCTCACTACAGAAACTATAAGGAGAATGGGCTTAAGCTTTCCGCGCAACGATTTCTGGGATTGTTTGGGTGGACAAGCGTTAGTTATGATTGGTCGATGGTATTCAACGCTACCATCAACCAATCATAACTAACGCTTGTCCACCCAGACATCCCAGAAATCGTTGCGCCGAAAGATTGAGCCCATTAAAGTTTCTGAAGTGGGGAATTCTCCCTTCTCCCTTCAAAAAACAAAAGGCTTCTGAAGCTACGCAAGCGAATGAAAAACAGTTGATTGACACTGGATCGGATCACCAAGGGAATAACGTTTTGACTGGAAATACACCAACCAACAGCTGAGGATCAAATACACCAATCACTAACAGTCTTGGTGCTACTGATAATCGTGCTCATCCAAATAAGAAATGATCGATTGACAAATTTGTCTCCCTATCAATTTTTTTATAACCAAGTGAGATTAACTATGAAAATACCGGCAATATTAATACTGGAAAACCCAATTTTTATCTCGTTAAATGTATCCATGTCGGGATGGGGGGGTACTTCCATATAAGAGGCTAATGGAGATGTGCCGCTGGGTGGGGTCGCATTTTAACAACTGGGTTGACTAGAATGGGGTTACATTTTCAGTAGAATTACTAGAATGGGGCCGCACATTTTCGGATTTTTAATTTTTAGGTAAGACAGACTTCATATTTACGGTTAGCAAACGCACCAGAATGTTGTCCTGCAGCTGAAAAGTAAAGTGTTCTTCATTCAATCTAAAAATTGGGTCAATTCATAAAAATAGTAAGTGAGTAATTTGAGATCGCGAAAATTACATATTTGCCCAAAAGTGACTAAGATGGGGTCTATAATTGGCCACAGAATAGACTATAATGGGGTAGGGGCTCTTAGAGGCCAGCGGCACCCAACAAAAATTAACCTAAGTAGCCCCCCCCCCCCCCCCCCCCCCCCCCCACCGTCTGCTTCTTTTTTTTGTGTTTTATTTACTCATCATCATTCTTAGACTTCTTCTTTTTTTTTTTTT